AAAGCTCAATTGGTAGAGCGCTGCACTAGTATCACAGAGGTCAGTGGTTCGAATCCCGTACAGGCCTGATTTTTTTCAGGTCTGATTTTTGCTATTGCTTAAATACCGCTATCTACTGCGAGGATCGTGCATCACATGTATCTAATACCGCAGTACAAAATATATGAACTTCATATATTTCATTGTATCTCATTTATCACTTTCACGGGTTTATTACGAATCAACTTAACGGCCTGCTCCCAGTTGGCTTGTTAGCTCAATTGGTAGAGCGCTGCACTAGTATCGCACAGGTCAGTGGTTCAAATCCTGTACAGGCCTGATTTTTTTCAGGTCTGATTTTCGCTATTGCTTAAATACCGCTATCTACTGCGAGGATCGTGCATCACATGTAAGTAAAACACTGTTGCAATAATCTCAACAGAGTGGTGCCTATAGAAGAGGAGAGAAAAAAAGGGGTTGGAAAAAATATCTTTCATCCCTCTTCCCCTCCCTCTCTTTTTTTCCTTTCTTCACTTTACATAATTCCTGATTCTGCAAACCATACAACCACTTATCAAACGATAACCTATACAGCTACAGCAGGTAACTTACCAACAAAACTGCTGCAGTCAGGGAAATGGCTTACAAATAGAGTCTTAGTGAATGGAGCATATAATAAGTCACATGTACTAAACAGTGGGAGAGGTGGAAGGGTCCAGGAAAGCTTACAAGTTAAGAAGACTAAATTTTTTACAAACAATGTATAACCTTTCACAATATATTGAATTCAGCATAGAGAACATAATTGAAACTAGCAACTGGACACTGGGCAACAAAACGGAAACCCAAACTTTCATATGAATTCCATGGTATAATACAAAAAGATCATAAAAGGGTAGTAGCTAAGTTGTGTATGAAAGCAATCCTCATAGTTATGAGCCCTACTTATGTGGTAGTGGAAATAAAGCCTGAAAAAAATTATTTTCAGGCTTTATTTCCACTACTACATAAGTGGGATTCATTACTGCGAGAATGGCTTTCATACATTAATTTTCATGAAACCACAATTGATACACATTTACGATTTTCATATATTCAAATTCCTTATTTTGAAGTTTTCTTCCACGATCAGCAAATTTTTTGGTTACAACAGAGAATTTGCTACATAAATGTCCAAGAGCTGCATTATTTTTTTAACTCAGAGGTTGTATGTGTTCTCCTTTTACTAACACTTATTTCCTGTCACTGAACAAAGCCCCGTTTTTATATAAATTTGACATTGATCAAAACCACTAGTATCTGTGCCAATAATGTGTATTCAAAAGTGAGAATCCCAAACAGACTTGAATTTCACTCAATAGGTTTTTACAGACATCTGAACTGCTATTTGGTTAAGTGGTAATAAGTTACAGGGATTTAATAATTGTAGGCAGATGTCTCCTGAGTCACCATGCTTCATCGATCTTTATCCAAATTACTAGATTAATTAATCCATTTTACTAACTACGAGATCATCCCCTTGTGTGTTGGAATCACACATGCGTTTAGAAAAAATTTCCCAGCATCTGAAAATATCCTAATGCGTTTACAAGACTTAAACTGCCGACGTGCACCCAAATTAATCATGCGAAACTAGAACTTTCTTTCTCCCTCTGAAATATGTTAAGCTTCCATGCGAGTAATATGCGCATTTAATTTACCGTTTGTAGAAAACGCACGTACAACCATCACGATCAGTAAACGTGGCAGAAAAACGACTTTCAAAATCCATCCAAACTTCCATTTAACTTTAACTTAGCCCTCACCTGAGGATCCATTACGAAGAGAAACGTATGTCACAGGATTTGAAGGAAAATCACCGGACTGAGTAGGCAACCTAAGTGAGCTTCAACTTATTTCCCTCAACAAATCGCTGTGCGTAAGGAAATGTGTCTTGATCATCGGAGATTAGATTTTCCGCTCCTATGTCCGATAGATTGTTCTGATATTCCACAATTCGGCACAATCAATGTTGGATTTTTCACGCGAAACGACTAGAGAACTATTTTCGTCACGAAAAGAAAGACAATTTCTTCCCCATCAGCTGAATCCGCCATCTTGGTCCATGTTTGAACAACCGGTCACGTGACATAATATTTTGCAGTAGACCGAAGTTTAGTCTTGTTACTTGTTATGTTTCAAACCTAAAAACTGGATCTACTCGTGGAAAATATTTGGATTACCAATAAAACACCTACCCTGCTTTATTTTACCCTCTTCTTAACTATGTCGCATAGAGGCTCTTTATTTTCATTCAATGAGATGTAAATAAGTGAAAAAATGAAGTCCACATGCCTGCATGAAGCCTACACGCTCGCAGTCAACAGTCCTTAATCTCCCTTTAAACAATACATAACGTTGACTCCTCTCTCCAATTAAATAAAAAATGAGGAAAATTAATACTCACGTCGCAATATAACAAACGTAATTAGCCGCCTCGAAATACGTTAAAACTGGTAAACAAACTTCCGAAAGACAATATATCGCATGTTTGAGAACAAAAGCCTTCCAGTGGTTGTTAAGGGTCATGTCATATTTCACAGATATTTTAATTTTCATGATGTTCGGCAGTATAGTGTTTGTAAAACCTTCTAAATCGATATCAAAACCTTTAGTTCATTTGAATGAGAAACTGAACGTAGTTTAGGGGTTCCTTCGAGAATAGGGCGCGGTCATCTGCTCAAACAGGGCATGCACAGTCGTATTAAAAATTCATAGTTGCTGTTTGTGTTTCACTGAATGCTTTTGTCCACATAAAAGTAAAAAAAATGACCTTTAACGTACATCTTAAATTTAGTGAACAAAGCTGGAGGTCACATTCCAAGGCTAGTACTTAAGTTGAAAGTCTGCGACAGCCATCCAAATTTCATCAGAGAGCAAATTATCTGATTTCATCATCCCTCGACATATTGTGAATTCACCTTGATAAATAAGTCGCTTTGTGAACATGATTTCAACCCTTTTTCGTTACGATTGATCGACGCTATTCAAACTGCATCGTTATTGCGTGACCAAAAAAATTAATCATACGAATGTTTTCATTTTGCGGGCACAAAACGCTGTCATATAGTGACCTCAAACATTTCCGCTGCCTGGCTTTTAACGATAAATGTCTAAAAGGCTATCGGTCGGATGGCCGAAAGCAACTCTGAAAATCGAATTTCAAAGAGCATCTAACTAGGAAAGTAGTGATATATGGATGTCTGAAATCTGTGTGGAAAATTAACTTGGGTCACGCATGAATAGAAAGAACCATCGGCATATTTAAACGTCGTGATTCAATGCCATTTCAAATTGAAAGTGGCAATAATTAAAAAAAGACAATAATTCCCTCAAATTTGAGACTCGTCCAGCTTTCTTATGATTTATCCTATGTAGCAGCAGTATTTGAATTTAACTTCATAAACTCTGTGTGATAAATTTCTGTATCTCTCACCTTGTTATCTAAATATTGCTCAGAAGACATCTCATCGAGTTTCACTAGCGAAGTTCCCTCGTTTCCCGCTTGAAAATACTTCTTCCTTTCGGAATATCTATTAGTAAACGAGAGAAGCGCTTGTTAGTTTTCTACAAGGAAGTGCTGTGGAGCAATACGATGAGGGTAAAACTCTGTGTACCAAAATCCAAGGAGCAAAGGCACACAAAACCTATGGAACACAGCCAAGGGTGTTGTCGTTGTGAGTGCTTGTCTACGTGGCACGTTTTGATATCACTTTCTCACGGCCCATGCTAATTTGGATCCTTTTTGTGATGCTGACTCATTGTCACATGACATACCACAAGTACCACACATTTATTTTAGGAAGGCACAGGCTACCTATTCTGTCATTTGGAGCCTGGGTACCGAAAATTTAACCCATGTCGGGCTCTCCATCGTAAATATTCCTGGTTCCCAAGAAGGGAGAGACCGGTAGACTGATTTCCTGTAAAGCAGTCTACTGATCAGAGTCACCTCTCTCATTTTTGACGAGTCTCACTCATATTCAATGGTCATGCCATCATCGTCGCCTGATGGACAAGTGGGACCTCGGCGATAAAATTATTTGGTCGTCCTTTTACCAGGAGTTCTTTAGAATCATGCCTTGGTAAAAGGAGTATTTCAAACCTAAGGCACATACTGAAAATATTAAAGAAAACACAGAACGCTTAATTAACTGCGGTCCTTCTTCTCTATAAAGGGTGCACGGACGTGGAAGGGAAACCCGCACGACACCTACGCATGATAGCTAGATAAACGGGTAGGCATTTATAGATTATGCTGTTAAAAGTGGCATATTATGCTTGTAGCATTGCTTTTTTTTGGCCAAATTATGCTAACATTATGCTCTTTTTTCCAAATTATGCCACCGTTTTTTTAAATTATGCTCTTTGAAAATATGCAAATAAGTCCAAAAAATATATTTTTTTAACTAGAAGCCGTTCGTCTACAGGAAAGAAACGCAACAAATCCACAATGAATTTCAAATAAACATGTGGTTGAGGTTAGACCCGGGCTCAGTGCTTCACAGTGAACTACAAATGCTACTAGTTTAACTAAAACTTTAAATATCGATTAAGGTCACCAAGTGCTTGGGACTAGAGACAAAAAATTATCAAATAATGGCATCAAAAATGATCTGATAATTATCAAAATGCGCAAATTATGCTAGCATTGCTACTTGGCAGAAATTATGCCAGTTTGCTCGAATTATGCCAAAAATTATGCTAGCATAATCTATAAATGCCTATAAACGGGACCTCGGCGAAAAAATTTTCCGTCGTCTTTTCACCTAGAGTTTTTTTGACTCGTGTCAAGAATTACAAGAGTACAAAAGAGTACTGCAAGTCTAAGCCACCTACTAAAATACAGAACGACAATAAACTGCGGGTCTGCGGGTCTGCGGGTCTGCGGGACTGCGGGTCTGCGGGCCTGCGGGCCTGCGAGCCTTCCCTTCGAAGTCGGTGGACAAAAAAGTTTTCTAGCTCCAGTTTCCATGACCGAGCTGAGATGACGTATACCCCAATCTTTTATTTACAAACACCTTGGTTCAATGACAAGGCAGAAAACTTGCTGACAAACGTAATCAGACGTTCTCGAATGCATAGGATTGTCCTATATAGCACACAGTGACTCGTAGTATTCATTTCATTTCTGCGCAATTAACCGATAAGTTTATATCAGTTATTCTGGTGAAACAAAAGAGAAGCGATGGCTCTTTCAGTGAAGGCGTATTTGAACCCTGACACCAATCAACAAGAAATTCGTCGTTTTGCAATTGACGAAGGTGCCTCAGCCAATTTTGCCTATTTGAGGCAGAAGATCGAGCAGGTATTTCCATCCATTAGGGGCAAGGTGTTCAAATTGTTTTGGAAAGGTAAGGTAATCGGTTTTCAGCTAATTCGCCTTGCGCGCTCGATCACTTGTGAGAAATGTCGAGTCCTCGTTGGTATTTTGTACCTGTACAAGTTTCGCTTAAAAGCTATTCTCGAAAACAACGACAGATACAAACAACTAGGACATTCAGTTTCGAAGAACAAATTTCACAAAGCTCCTAACAAACGAAAAGAAGGGCCGATGCCAATTATCGATATCTGTTTTTTTTTTTTTTTTATTCCTATGGTTTGTTTTATATTAACTGAATATATTCGATATTTTTCTCTTCGTAGATGCCGACAACGAGATGATAACATTTTCAAGCGATGAAGAGCTGATTGAGGCATTGGGAAGTATAAGTGGCGATGTGTTTCGCGTTTTTGTGAAAGGCGGTGAACCAGACGCTGGTAATGTTGGTAAGATGTTATTACTATTTTCTACTGTTTGTTTTCAAATTGACTGTATGATAACACTAAGCCATAAGCATTCTGTTGTGCAATGTATTTTTTTGTACAATCGTCAAAAATGTTTTGTAGACAGTTGGTGACGTGGGAGGTCCAACTAGATAGGTGTGAATTGGAAATCTTTTTGCCTGATCATTATGAGCTAGCAGTTTCATTAAATCCCTTTCACTTTCAGTCAAACATTTTTTCTTTTCGTGTCTGGTCTTTTCTAGTGACTTTTCTAGTGACATTAAGGGTTGAACACTATCATTATTAAATCTGTAATAATTTTGTTCTCTTTTTTTTCAGAAAACTCTGCTGAACAACAGGACCCTGGCACTGCTCACCCTGGCGTAGTGTGCGATGGTTGTGATAAGCACATCTTTGGGATCCGCTTCAAGTGTGTGGTTTGCCCAAACTTTGACCTGTGTATGACCTGTGAGACCAAAGGAATGCATAGGGAACATGAGATGCTACGTATTGCAACACCGAGAACTTCTGCAGACAACTGGTTTCCTGGCTTCAACCCATTTGGAGTTGGTCATCCACCTCACCACCCCCCACATGGCCATCCACCTCACCACCCCCCACATGCTCATCCACCTCACCACCCCCCTCATGGTCCTCCTCCTCATGGAATTCCTCCCTTTCAGTATGACTTTGGACGAGGATTTGGTCCATGGGGACGTGGATTTGGCCGTAGGGGGGGCCGTGGTCGTTGTGCCAAGGCTAGAGGCCGTTGTAACAATGGAGGAAAGAAGTGTGATCGCCATACAGAGGCCAACCCTAATGAGGTCCCTGTGGGGCCACCCTTTCTTCATGCTGTTGGAGAGACTATTGCCTCATTTCTTGGGCCACTGGGTGTAGAGGTGCACACATATGCTAGTAGTGAGGAAGGTATGTGTTAGAGGTTGTTTGAAGCCTCTTACATCAAGTGGATTCCTTGACGTTTATAGTGTATAACATGTTTTGATTTTGGGGAGGGATCTTTATACAGTTGAACCTGTATTAAGGGACATTGTATTAAGTAGTTGCCCTTTATTCAGCTGCCAGGTGTTAAAGTCCTGGGCCGGGTTGTTCAAAGGTGGCTTAAGGTAATCCAGGGTTAGTGTGAAATTTTTCAGATCTGAAAGCTTTATAAGAAAAATTTAGTTTAATTCCATTTGTCTTCTATTTGAAGATTAAATGCTTTAAAAAGAATAGGGAAAATTAGCCCAAAATGGCCTTTTGAACAGAGAAATTAGAAACCTAGATTAAAATTTAACCCTGGGTCAGTGCTAATTGACCTTTAAACAAGTGGGCACTGTTTTTGTTTCCCCTTAATCACCGTATTTTTCACCTTTATTAGACGGTCGTGGTGGCTCTTAACTAAGTCACAACTGCCAGTTTTCATTGTCTTCCACCTGTACTGAACGGTCACATAAAGCAGAACTTCTTGACTTTGGAGGAAATGTTGTGCTTGTTTGATGTGGTGGTTTAATTTTAAATGCAGATTGTTGTCAAGGCAGATGTCAGGAGGGTGACCAACAAGCCACTGCAGATGCTGGTCCTTCAGGAGAGTCCACAGAACCACAAGTGGATGAAAATGCTCCATCACAAACAGATGAAAAAGAAACCTCTGAAATGGTGAGGAAAACACTTTGGGACAATTTATTGTGATAAAATGTCACATTTTATTAATATAAAAAAATGGTCTAAGTTCATCCTAGATGGTGGTGGTGAATGGTGAAATATGCTTGATCATTACAGCTTTACAACTCCTCTTCATTGCAGCTGTGTGACTTGGGTTTATCATAGGGTTCTGTGCATGACAGGAAAATATTACACAGCCGGGGTTGCAATGATCTGTCAAGCATTTTTAAGGGGGGGGGGGGGTTAGTGAGCTTCTGCATCCCAATGTTCTAAGACAACAGCAACTATGCATATTTTTACAGTGGAAAAAATGCAAGTCAGACCTTCCACTTTTCAATGTACAGATCTACCACCCCTTAGATCTACCAAGGTACATACCCATCAGTGGATGGGGCCATCAGCTATAACTGGTATATAAAATAACCTTCATGTGATAATGTTTTAGGATGTTCAAGCACCAGAGGAGTTTGTTTTGGTTGATGAGAATGCAGAGTCACAAGAGGGAGCCTCTGGAACAGTTGATGAGGAAGTTCCAACTGACCCCTTGGAGGTGGCCATAGCAAAGATGCGTGCAATGGGGTTCGAAGACGATAGTGGCTGGCTGCGGCAACTGATACATGCTAAGGATTATGATCTCAACAAAGTCCTTGATGCCATGCAGTTTGAGGGAAAGAACTGATGGGCATCATACAGTGCATCCTGCTTTACATGTAGTCAAGTTTTTTGTTTTGCTGTGGGCATTTTTCAGTTAATTTTAGTATTTACTCAGTAGCTTATCCTTGAAAACATGAAGAAATGTCAAAACGTGAAATGTCGACTTCATACAGTTGTTTCAAAACAGATATGTAAGATCTAATGTCTGGTGGCCTTCTGGGAATTATGACTTTATAGCCAAGTGTATCACGTTTTAATTTTGTATTGATAATTGTGGCATTCCAGATAAAAAACTTTTCTGGTGTACTGTCAGAAGAGCCCTTTTCCTCTAAGATTTTGTAATATCTTTTTTTGCTGTAACATTGATAGAAACATCAGTAAGAGGTGAAGAGCCATCAGCATGATAAAGTGCAAGACCAGTTAGGTGTATATATGCCACACAACTGGCTCAATTTTTTTCCCTTTAAATTATCTTTCCTTGTTCCCCTCATAAGAATGCCAAATACAGTGTTTGTTACAGTTGATTACAAGGGGAGAATGGAACCATTTGCTGCCCTGTTCAAATCGTAAGTTGACATTTCATGAGTGGCCTTGCATGCTTTCAACAGGAGTTTTGGATCATGACGGGTGTAGTTACATTGTGCAAGGGTTCGATTTTTCTTTTAAAAGGCAAATTAATTAAAAATCATTAAAAAAAACCCATTGTAGAAGGGTTCAAGCAGTTGGCGAGAAGATTTTGGTTGTGATTATTAATTATTCAATGTGCTTCACGGTCATGTAATGTGAGTGAGCAATGATACATAGCATTGTAATAAGCTGTGATGCCAAAATAAAGTTCTTCAATGATGATAAGAGTGTCAACTGGACTTGCTTACAAGTGACATGGTTGCCTCTGAATAAAAGAAATGGAAGACCAACATCAAACAATGTTTTCTTACCAGAAGTTTTGACACTTTGAAATTGTAAGTAAAAGTACAACTTCTACCCCTACATGCAAAGAGATATGTAATTTACATTTTTTATGATTATGATACTTGTGTACAACTCAGAGTAGCACATGCAATGCACATGATGTAAAATGTGAAATTTTTTATCCTAATAGATTAAATTAAGTCACACCTGGTAACAAACCCTTCAAGTGAACAAAGAAATGATAAACTCTGATGATAAATAAAGAAAGCAGCCTGCCAATCTCATAACAACCTGTACAACGATAAGGTGGTCCTGCAAATTAGTCACTAACACTAAAAGGGAATTTTTTCATTTGTTTGTTAAAAAAATAGGCTTTGCCAAAGGTTACAGACTGGAATGTACTAACCCATTCTTCAGTAACGTGGTGTGACTCACGATAGATGTTTATTCCACTCACACTTGGTTTCATTTGAATGAGTTGTACTTTACAAGTCATTTATAAATATATATTATATTATATACAGTATATATTTTTTTCAATGTTCCTTTTGCAAATCCATTACTCAATTGGCTGACTTTCAAGATGGTCATCTTTCCCATTTTCCCCTTCACTTGTCACCCCTGAATCTGATCCACCATTCATTTGTTCATCCTTGGGTTCTCCTTCAGAAGTAGGGTCAGAAGTTCCATTTTCCTTGTCATCCTCCCCCTCAACTGAGTCCCCACTTTCTCCTGGACCCACAACACTGCTTGGCTGACTTCCTTCATTTGCTTTGAAACCGAGAGCTGCTTCTTCTGAAAAAGTGTCCCATCTTGAGCTCTTAAAATCAAGCAGTCTTTGCATATTACTCTTGCTAAGCTGATCCATACATTGAGAGTAGCCTGCAAGAAGTGTATGTGCCAAAGCAACTCCATATTCCACTCTTGTTGTTTCAGTGGTTTCAACTGCAGTCAGATCCTGAGCTATCTCAAAGCCTCTCCTGTACATACGCACAGCATCTTCATATTTTCCCTGAATAAAGGAAATAAAGTAAACTTTGGCCAAAAAAACTTGATGCTATATCTGATGCTGGTCTGCTTCCAATCACACAGAGCAATAAATGAATAATTCAACAACATTGACAACAACAACATTGACTTTATTTTTTTTTTTTAAAATGAAAGAAATAAAGGCTTTTGTAGCCCGCAGTTAGCAAAGCTATTCTAGGCGGGCTACCTAAACAGACACTGTATAGGCTCACACACACACACACACACACACACGCACACACACACGCAACAATGAAATAATGATTGAAATAAAATAATGAAATCAATGAAATAATAATAATTCCAGCAAGCTCAGTTCATGTATAGGGATCAAAACACTATTTGCACTTAAATGAACAGCTAATTAGAAAACACAGAATATTACATGAATATAATAATGTGCAAATGTGTTGTCTTACCATGGAATTATAGATAGAGCCAAGACTTGTACAAGCTCTCTGCTGTTCTGGTAATTGCTGAGATCGATCAGCCAACTCAACAAACATCTCAAGATACTTCATAGCACTTTCCACATCTCCTTGCCTAAGAAAGAAATTAATTACACCCTTGCTTACAAACAAAAAAAACTTTTCTTAAACAGATCACAAAACTCAGTTTGAAACTTTGTTAGGTGATGGCTCATTTAGCAAAAATGTGCCAAATTGTGCATCACTACTAGCCTGCTGGTACGTGTTTTGTTTGATTTGGAAAACTAGTATAGAAAAAATGACAAACTTACAACTCATAGGCTCTTGCCAAGGCTTGACAAGCCCTCCCCATCCCAACATCATCTGTGTTCTGCTGGCATTTCTCCAAGTACCCATTATGATACTAGAAAATATATCAGGCATGATAGTTAGATATCCATAAATTGAGTTGCCAATAATCTCATTAAAGTTGGCCTTTTTTAATAACAAATAAGCTAGAGTATTTTTCTTCTTAACCAAAAATCTCTTATTTCTTACCAGAATGGCTGTTTCAGCATCTCCAATTTCCTCATAAGCACTTCCCAATCGATAGCCAGCCAAGCCCTCTTGTTGACTGTCACCACCTTTCACAAGACCAAAATAATTGCAAAGTTTATTTGTTTTATTTTACAAACTGAAGGAAAAGGACAAAGCAATGTAATTTACCTGCTAAATCATTATGGGCATTAAAATATATCAATCAAGAGGAAGGAAGAGATGCAAATCACGCAAACAGCCAAAGAGAATGCTTATGGAATTTCAGACTTACTTTCTTTTGCCATTCCATATGCTTTCAGGAGGTAATCTATTGACTTCATCGTGTCAGCCTCTTTAACCTATCAAAATGATGATAAATTCACAACTTAAATTTAAAAAAAAAGAGGAACAGAACATCTCACATAACAGATCTTCAATCACTCTGATTTAATATCAAATGTACAAATAAAATTTTCCAGCCTAAAATATACCTCATCTGCCATGGTTGTATACACCCTCCTGAGGTGTCCACAAGAAAGTGAATGCAGATTTTCTCCATCATCTGTCTGCCACAGACGCCCTTTTGTCAAATTGTAAAATGACTCTAAATACTCTGCAGCTTTACACAGATCCCCTGTACATAAAAATAATGAGTAAGTTATCACAAACAGAATTACTTTACACACATCTTTCCTTTGCTTGCGAAAACATTTGTTTTTAAAATATACATATATCTTTTTATATGTCTAAAGAGAGGGAAATTATAAAAGTACGAATGAAGTAAATATCAGACATCCCTGATCAACAATTTTACCTCTCTTCTCAGATGCCAATCCCATGTTACAGTTAGCCTCTGACTCCTTCCTCCTTCCATCTCCTCTTATCTTCAGGCTCGTCTTCAAACAAGAGCCATAAAAGTGATCTGAGAGCCAAAAGTCCCCAGTCTCCTCAAAGAATCTTGCTAGGGCCAGTAAGCTATGATAAACTTGGTCCATCTTTCCTGCAAATTAAAGGGGAAAAACATACCATTGGTAATTTCATGTCCTGATGGAGTTTGACATCTGCATCAACTGTGGAAGTCAGAACATCGTATATTTGACTCACCTCTTCTCTTTGCTGCCTCTGCTGTGGTTAGATGATGTTTTAGTTGGTCAAGTTTCTCTGGTTGATCTTGTAGCAAAGGTTGATCAGAGAGATCAGAATCTGCTCCTAAACTTTCTATGTCATGTTTTTGTTTCTCCATCAGATTAAACAGCTCTTGAAATGACTGATGGAAACCTTCTTTCAACATGTCAAGGCAAAGATTGTGTTCATAGGTATTACGATACCTGTCATGACAAAGGGATTTATGATTAGCACAACTCACATTCAAAGGCATATGTCAGCCTCCAGGTGATAATTTGAGCAAATGCACTTTTAATATGAATCAATGCAAATGTCTCTGATAACAGTTAACTTCCATACATGTACATACATACCTTGAAGTGTCAATCCTTTCAGAACTAGTTGTTTTCTCCAGATGAGAAGGAGGACTCCTCACAAAGGAGCCTTCTGGTCTCTGTATTCCTCTGCTACTTCTTAACGGACTCCCTAGAGAGGACCCTTTCATTGGTGGAGATGGAACATGCCGAATGACCTGCTGAGTGACCTGGCCACCTACTTTGATGGGAGGAAGTGCAGTAGCCAATGAGGTCATCTTGAGCTCTGCAGTTGTCTTCTAAACTTGATAACTGGAAAATAACTGAAAAAAGTCTCACATTATTCCCCTTGAAATATTGATACATATGTTGAGCTTCAAACTTGGACCATAAATCTGAGCTGAAAAAAACTAGATGAAACCTTACAGTTCAGACTAAGAAAACGTGTTAGATAGTAAGTGGTATTCAAAGAAAACATGTCAGTGATAATTATGACTGAGATACATGTTGTATGCATTTATGTGGTCAAATACTTAAACATTGTTCAGGTAGTAAAAACGATCATCAACAAACTGTCTATTAAATATACAAGATAGCTAATGCGGTGTGAAATCTGAAAGCATGGAATGCTCCTCTTTAGGTTTAGAGCAGCTATTGAGGTCAAAGAAACTGTGCATGTGCACATGGCAGGGTAACAACACTATAACAAGTTTACCAACATATTTGCATTTGCTCAGTGTACTTTACGCATTTACAACACGAGAATAAAACAGCGATTTAGAGCCTCTACACGGAAGATTTTCGCAGGTAACTTCCCTCAACGACTTCAAATCATAAGGTGTCAAGGCTGACAAAAAGCCTACGACATCAAAAACTCGTACAAAATATTGTACGAACTGTCCCCAAAACTTTACTTCTGGTGCATCTAAGTTTAGAAAAACACCCCAATTTACCTTTTACTGTCAAGAATCGATCACTTTAACGAAGATAACACTTCTCCCGTCCAAACTAAAGTATTTACAACTTTCGCCATGTTTTTTTCTCACGAAACACCAAAAGTTGTGACGTCATTACCATGGCTACCCCACAAAACAATCCCATAACACTCTACGACACAAGTGCCAAAGACCGCAAGTATATATGGGATTCTTACGAAAAAAAATATATGACGCAAGGTCGTACGAAGATCACCCGATCTAGCTGCGCTGTCATTGGTGGAAAAAAATAGCTTGGTGATGAAGCCAAAATGGCGGACCCATCAGACGATGGATGGGAGTCACTTTTGAGTGAAACAATGCCCGATTTAGGAACGAATTTTAACGATGATAGAGCCATGAATCAGCCCATGATAGGCGATTTTGACGGTAAGCAAATTCATGTTTTCATATCCTTACCTAATGGCCGTATAACTCGTTAAATTCTTGCCCAAGATCAACGTAACTTGGTCGTTGTTTTCTCGGTAAGTGACAAGGATGTTTGGTTCACCGAAGAGAAGGGCCCCAAAATTGCCATAATTTAGTACGCCAGGTGACTCTTAATGAACGAAATAATGTTGCAGAAGGTCGGTTCGTCATTTGTGATGTTTGGTGTAGTCAAAGTTGCGTGCCATTGTTCACACGCATAGCAGATATATGGGTCATTCTAAGCGGATTGTTTATGTATGCACTATTCACGTTCTTAGGCACTCGGCAGCCCGTGCACTTAATTTAAAATATGCTTATAGTCACTCCTGTAATCTGGTTTCTAAAAGCCTCAACAACCAACTTTCTTTACAGACACAAATAAATAAGCTTGTCGCATGCACTCCCGTGACATAATTTGCATGGTTCAAAGTACTTTGATCCGTTTTGCCTATGCGTATGTGACATTTAACGTTAATTAAGTGAAGCACGGACTATGCATGCGTTGTTTTTGTTTTGTGATTGGCTCATTGCCTGAAAAGGTTTGATCAGGACATGTTAGGGGTGGATGCCTGTGTGCTGTTAAATAACGGAGCACAACTTGTTCGTATTTCTTTTCTCCTCGGAAGCTAAATCGTCCATCTGTGGTGTATTTACCTTCAGATTGTTAATAAACTGACCAGGTGTTAAATTCATCAGAAAAACTGGCTAAATGTAATTTTGTTTCACCAAACTTGGTCCATCAAATATTAAACGATTGTAAGTTTTGCCAAGTTTAATGGAATCAAACCTGGTTCCATCATTGTTCATAAACAGTACTTATCACTGTCAATGGCAGTTAGTTGTTATGGTTTGTGGTTAATCTTGAATGTAAGGAATTAATTAGCCAAGATGAAAAAACAGCATTTAGTCTGTGAGTTGTTCTCTTTTGCCAGAACCTCTCTTTGTAGGCAAGTATAGAGCATACATTTAGACAGATAAGACAAATTATGCAAGCTTCTGTAGATTAACTTGATATTATACATCGGTTAGAGGTTGGTAGACTTGAATTAAAATGGCTTCTATCTTAGTCCTGCACTCTGCCTTAACATTTTGATTTGTTTGTGTCTGAAATTTCAATTTAACTTTTTTGTGTTTAGTAGATAAGTTATTTTTCAGCCTCCTACACAAGTTTTATTTTTCACACATCTTATGTTACATCAACTTATTTATAGTTCCATTATATATCTTAATACCTTGAAACCCTAGATAATTCAACATGATTTGGAGAATCAGTTAGAAAAAACAAGGATATTTGTCTACAACATAGATACATTTTTGTCAGGTAACTGGCTCAATTCATTTATTTCTCTTGTAAATTTTTTTTGTCTCATTTTATTTGTGACACCATCTTTGTATCCAGAGGGATTTTTGGATTTCCTTTGTGGAGCACAACCTGATGTTGATCAGGAGCAAAACAGTACAGCACTTTCATCTGGGGTGAACCCTAAGACTGATCCTTCACAGCTCATTCTCTCGCCTCCAATTACACCTCCAGAGTCAATGGCTACAGATGATGATTGCTCATCCTCACTTAACATTGCAGACTATCTCTCCAAATTTACAACACAGCAACAAGATCAATCAGCATTCCCAATGTTTCAACCTAAGGTTAAGGTAAAGCAGGAGCCAGGAGTTTGTGATCCAGGTCAGCATGGTACTCCAAAACAGAATCAGAACACCACCACCCAGTACCTGCTTAATTTACTTCAAGGGCAGAATTCCCAGCCGGCTCCCCCTGCTATGCACACTAAGAGCTTAGAACAGCTTCTTCAGGAGCCATCAATCCTTACACCAACCTCACAGCCTTGTGCTGTTACAGTCCAGCAGCCTATTTCAACCCAGCAGCCAACAGTTGTTACACAACAGGCACCACAAATGTCTCAGACAACCCCTCAACTCCTTCAGCTGCTGCTTCAACAACAGCAACAGCAACAACAACAACAACAACAGCAACAACAACAACAGCAACTGCCACAGTTACAACCTAAGCTTCAGCTACCAACTGTCCAGCCACAGGTTTCAACAAGTCAGCCTTCATCAAGTCAGAACACTCTGCTTCAACAGCTTCTGCAGCAGCTGGGTGTGTTACCCAAACAGAACACAACCATAGTGCCACAGCAGCAAGTGGTAGTTCCTGAAGAACAGTTGTCTCCTCAACAGCAGGTTCCCTCTCCAGGGTCTATTTCTTCACTGTCATCAACACCGGTATCCCCTGTCCACCCAACTTCTCCAGTGTTACCTGTTCTTTCAAGTGCACAAGTCACAAGTCCACAAACACAGCAGGTGAGTGATTCAATCAACTAAGTCCTGTCTGCTTGAAATCTTCCACTGACTTTTAGGGGATGGTTCACTCATTTTACCTTGATTGTAGCTAAATGTAAGGGACTTTTCTTAGCTGGCGTAATGATAAAGGACAAAATGGGCCAATGATAGCATTCAAAATTACATGAAGCTGCACTAAGCAGCTGATCATGTGGCTTCTTCTTGTGATACATTATCATTCAAACTTCATCATCTACAGTATGGGTCACTAGCAGTTTACAAGTCCAAACTTTGCAGTCTGTGATGTAAAGCAATTGTGGTTCTGTGTCTCAAGACAAACAATTGAACCCTCATTTAAATGTGTCTGAAAACCATAGTTCACAACAAGTACACCTTAAATATAATGAAATTCTAGTTATTGAAGAAATGTCTTTGAAAGACTGAATTTTCCCTTTTAAAGATTATTTTTCTCAGGTGATGGAAGACTCTTTTAGATAAAAATCCTGCCATTATGACCACGTTTGCGTGTGTTTATATTGAACATTTGTAACTCTGTATCTTCCAGAGTCTTGCTCAACCACAAACTGTCAAGCCAGACTCTGCTTCCACTGTCGTTGGTACTATTGAACTTAGCCAATCACAGATTCAGCCCACACTGTCCCAGGGTCCCAATGGGGTCTTAACAGCTACCATTCCCATTGTCTTGGACCCGAGCAAGATTCCAATCAGTCGTCTGACTAATGCAAAGGGCCAAGTGGGAGTCAAAACAGAAAAGCGATCAGCGCACAATTTGATTGAGAAGCGGTACCGCACCAGTATCAATGACAAGATTGTGGAGTTGAAAGACCTTGTGTGTGGGCCAGATGCAAAGGTAAGGCTATCATCTTAAAATAATCTACTTTTTATCATCTTTTCTAGAAGCAGTGCAATTTGCTGAAAGAATGAAAACAGAAACTTTGCAAGGGATGTGTGTGATTTTACCACTGTTGTAATTTTTTTCCTTTTTAGATGAACAAGGCTGGTGTGTTAAGGAAGGCCATAGAGGTAATAATGAAGCTTCAAAATGAAAATGCACGCCTCAAACAAGAAAATATGAGTTTGAAAATGGCACAGCAAAAGAGAGGTAAGGATTTTTTATATTATTTTGTAAGGCAAGGAGTAAAATGCATGGGTTAGGGGAATTACTTCTTACCTGTATCTCAGAAGTCTGGTTAATGTACTGCGGGGACTGTAACAGGCACAGGCAAAAGTTCGTTGCTTGGTCTGAAGTACTCTTCATGGTATGCAAAATAAAATGTACATTGAAGGCAGGCTCATTAATATGCTGCAGTTTAGAACAAATTTTTCAGCGCCTTTGTACTGTTTGTGCATACACAAGGTAAAATACCTCTTATTAATTATTAAAAAAAGTGGATTAATTCCCTTCAATCTTACTCAGAAACCATCACTGAGCTTGTCCGAAAGCAAAAGGAACATCAGATAAAGAAAGATGTCAGTAGTTGTGGAATGATAGAAGACTGCACTATGATGGAGACAGAAGCTGTAAAAAGGGAAGAATCCAACAAGGTGGAAGACGTTGCCAAAGCTAACAATGTGATACAAAGTCCTCTTACACCACCCACACCAGATCCATTGACAAAAGACAAGACTCACATCAAAGTAGAAGCCTTACCTGTCAGTAGTTGTGGAATGATGGATCGCACCCGCGTGGCATTGTTTGCTTTTATGTTTACCTTTTTGTTTATCAACCCTTTGAGTTACATTGTGCCTCAGCTTGATAAAGGTAGAGTAAAATATTTAACTTTTAAAGACCTACTGTTGTCCACCTGAACTTTTTAAACATCACATAGTTAAAAGTGACTTCTTAATCTTTTGAAAGGCAGCCATTAAGAATAGGGCACAGAACAGCCTAACTTTAAAAATTTTCAACATCACTTGTTCATTGTTGCACAAATTCACATTTTTTGCCATTAATTCATTAATTTCCCACTAGTAAAGTTATATTAAAGTTTTAGTTAATTCTTTAATGAAATCAGTAAATTGCAGAAGAAGTAACTTTGAGCACAAAATACTGTAACTTGAAAATCTTCCTGAAATTTTTTCTTTTGACGTCTGAGTTACAGTTTGCTAATTTTAAAGTTGTTATTATCCACATGAGGAAATTTATTCTGGTAACCATAGTCTTTGTGCTTAAACAGTCTTTGTAATAATGCACTTAATTCAAACAGGTATGTTTTTCTCCAATCCTGTGGAAAATAAAAGACCCCAGGCTTCTGGAAGGACATTGAATTCTTATGGAGATAGTGGTGCTGTACAGCAGGAAAACAGCCTTTGGAATTCTGCCCTGACTGTGCTTAACTGGTCTTTGCATGTATTTGTGGCCTTAGCAGTATTGGTGCGTATCTTTGTGTTTGGGGAGCCTGTGACACGACCCCACTCTGACAATGCAGTCCTGTTCTGGAGACACAGAAACCAAGCTGATGAAGACTTAAATAAGGTACGATTTAAAAGAGGACAATGATGATGTGAATACCAAGCTCCACTTTGATAAGGTCACCTTGTGACAACCTAAATTCTCAATATAACTGCCAGAAATAAAAGCAGAGTTGACTGGCAATCAATTTTGGAGGTTCATACAAACTTTAAAAGCTTAATACTTAGGCAGATAAGGTGAAAGAACCAACAGAACTTTAATTACGATATTTTGTGCAAAACTTTTATCTCGACATAAATATCACAGACTGCAGAGGAGTCTTACCATGTTGAAATTAAATTGCATGTACTTTTGTTTTCAATTCGGGGTAAAAGTATATTGACGTGACCCCAGTTGTAATAAATTCAAAGTCTAATGGCCTATGAGACTTAGTGTGCATAAAGGAATTCATTTATCTTTCAGGGTGATACTATATCAGCAGCGCGTCACCTTGAAATTTGCCTGAGGGCACTGAAACGTCCCCTTCCTGTTTCAAAGCTTGATGTGGCCTGTGGTCTGGTTTGGCAATTGATGCGCCATGTTCTGCAGAGGCTATGGATTGGAGCATGGCTTGCATCTGCTGCTGGAGGAATAAATATACGTGGACGAAGCACTGATACCAAGGATTATGCCAAAATATCTGCAAAAGATGCAGCTTTGGTTTACCATAAGTTACATCAGTTGAGCCTTACAGGTACTGTACTTTGAAGGTTCTAGATGCTACTCAAGTGTTAGTAAGCTTTACCCATTATTTTCAACTAAATTTAAGGGGAAAATACAGTTCTGGTTCTTTGTGCTGGGTTCCTGTTGAACTTCTTGTACGTTGCAAGAGAGTAAACTTTAGATGTTCTCATCACTTGTATGTCTATTTTAGGTCATGTCTCTGTGAATGGCTGGCGTTCTTCCTTTCTTGGCTTGGCAGCTGTGAACCTTGCAGAGTCTGCAGACAAACTGATGAGCATTGACATCTTAGCTGAAATCTATGTATCAGCTGCAATACAGATAAGAACTTCATTCCCTGATGGACTTCACTTTACTGCTGTGAGTTGGGCTTTGAAAGAGAGTAGAAGTATAATGCTTTGTTGGTGACTTGATTGTTTAACTTTGACATATTCCAGTTTTATCAGTCTGTGTATAAATGCATTGTGTCAGTCTTGAGTGGGAGGATTTTCCTTGTATTGGTAGACATGTGTTATCAGAGAGGTTATGCATGACACTATATTTTTTGTTCAGAGGTATTTCCTTGGCCGTGCACAAACATCTTATGCATCTCGTGGAACAACAGTTCCAGCTTCACTGCAATGGCTCTTCCGTCCTAAGGGACACCGCTTCTTTGTCAGCAGTCGGTGGTCTTGCCAGGGAGGTGATAGCATGTGGGCCAGCATCAGTGACAAAAGTGAGTTTAATTTTGTTGAAAAGTAGACTATCCACATCTTTTGTCTGCTACATGGGTAGGGCAAGCAAAGCATGAGGGGGATACATACATTCTGTAGCAGTGAGAAAATAACAGTAATTTTGTTCTTTTTATTAGGTAGTTGTTCAGTGTAGCTTCTCTTTTAAGTTTTCCTGGTTTTTACATTAATTTTATATGATAAAAATATGCAGGAGAAGTAAATTTCTCCATCTCTGATGTTGAATTTTAGATTGAGATTAAATGATTTGTTTTACCTTTCAGCCAACCCAGTTGCTCATGTAAGTCAAGCATTCCGGGAGTATCTCCTCCGCTATGCACTCTCGTCTATTGTATTACCAAGTGCAACGGATGAAGATACTACTGGGGATAAAAGTGTTCGGGATGCTCTTAGGTACCTGCACATGCTGAATGAGTGTGCATCTACCAGTGAAAAGCCTGTAAACATGGCATCAGCAGTCGGTGACGATGAGGTTGCCAAATGGTGGGTAGCAGTGGGAATGGTGGCAGTTCATTGGCTGCAAGGTGAAGATGAGTCTGCTGAGAGGTTTTACAGTACAATTGAGAGTGTTCCTAAGAGCTTGTGGAATGCAGAGTAAGTTAATGTTATTGTGTAGAAATGGACTGGATTAGCAAGCTACATAGACATTGTTAGTCTTGTTATATTTTGTATTTTGGTACTTGACAATATGGTCACCCTTAACGCAGTTGTATTCTGGTTGTAGAAGTCACCAGTATTTTCTCTGATTTTCTCTGGTTCAGTTTATGGAATAGTACTGAATGTTATTGAATTCTGTTTTTTTGCCTGCTAGCCACGTATACAGTGAAACTTAAAATGATTTTTAACAAATGTCCTTAGAATTCTGCCCCTTAATTAATCAATAGCAAAATTAGTTTCATGATAAGTCTTGTCAGTGTTAGGTTGCAAAAAGGAATGACTGGCACAAGGCTAAAAAAAAAAACAAGCAAAATTAATAGCCTTGTGACGTTATTTGTCACTTCCAGCCATTCTTCATGAGAACATGTGTAAAATTACACCAACATTTCTTGTTGAACCTGAGAAATGTCTCTGTCTTAGAGATCCTGTGGCAAACTCAAGAGACCCATTAGCAAAAGCTATCCTTAGAGCGTACTTAGCAAAGAAACAGATTTTGAGTGGAGACACACAGCCCAGCTCTCTTGAAGATTGTGTGCAGTTCTGCAAGAAGTCAGGTCTTCATCTGCAGGAGAGCATTAATCTGACATCTTCCCTTTACCAGTCCAGCACTAGCCGCCTACACCAGCTTGCACAACTTCTGTGCTGTGATTGGTTGCTGGGTACTCGAAAGGACATCTGGGAATTTTCACAGAAGCCGCACTTCACTGCCACTGTACCAACTGATCCGGTTGAATTGCGTTCGTTTCAGAATGATCTGGAGAGTTTGCAGAAACTCACTCACAACCTTCCTGCTGCTCTGCCAAGGGTAAACTATCCTTTCTGTAGTTAGCTGTGTTGTTGACAGTTTCTATTTTCCATCTTCGCCTCAGACATAAAGGAGAAAAAATTAAAGACTTCTCCATGCGAGCCTTCCTCTCTTAAATTTGAATGAAGGCAATGAGCAAGGTTCCCTTTGCTTATTTTGCGTTGGCTGGAGGCTAATGTTGTGCCATTTATTTTCCTCAGCTTTATTTATACGAGGCTGTGGCTCGACTAATGGCAGGCGCCAACCCCACTGAGACTCACCATCTCTTACAGAGGAGCACGCTGAGGCAGCGAGTGGTCACTACATGTCACCACAAAGGACAACAGCCTGAAGACGAAGGTAATCATTTGATTATTTTTCTTTAATGTGTCAATCCCCTGACAGTAAGCAGATAATTGATGATGATTTTTCTTAAGTAATTATCAACTGACTGACTGACTGATTGACTGAGTGACGGACTGACTGAGTAACTGACTGACTGACTGACTGAGTGACTGACTCACTGACTGAGTGACTGACTGACTGACTGACTGAGTGATGGATTGATTAATTGATTGATTTTTGTTGAATGATTTTAGGAGACGAGGAAGAGACAACATGTGTAACAGGTGAGCGGGAGAAGGCAGCAGCCCTTATGATGGCCTGTCGACATCTTCCTCTGCCATTCTTATCTGGTCCGTGTCAGCGTAAGAAGATGCTTGTCGAAGCTGCCACTTCTCTGGAGAAAATCGGAGATAAGCGAACTCTGCAGGAATGTCAGCAACTTCTACTCCAGCTGAACTCGGTTTCAGCTGTTGAATGACGGAAAATTTTAATTGACATCGTTACTGTTACATATATGTCGTTGTTCTTGCTTCAAACTCTTTCGTAGGTCCCAGCATTCTTTAGAAATATTTCCCCTCCATTCATAGCGCTCACCACATATTCAAGTGTGAAATTCGTAGGACGACTAGGTGTCTCAAAGTCCGATTATTGGTTACTGAGGAAGCGAGAGGCACAAGCTTATGTAACAGACACGAAGCGTGTCTCTGGTAATCTACATCATGTCATAGCAGATCATATTGCTTACAATAATTACAGGCTTTGCCATAAGTAACTAAACTTTATTAATGAAAGTAAACGCTAAACCAAGACAGTTAAAACGTCGAAAAACCCATTAAATTAACAGAAAAAAATAGAGAAGAGAAGTGGTATATTTATGACAAGTATGTATGTGCATTAAATATTTTATTTTATACTCAAGGATAGACTTTCGTAACTTATTTGTTACTGGTTTTTTTTTTAGTGAAACAACTTAAGTGGAATCAAGAATCACTGTTTACGCCTAAAGGTGATTTTATTCCAGTTATTTCCCTCGAACCAATTGTTGAATGCGTAGTATTAGTGATGCCAATGATTGCGTCTTCTGATCCGACAAGTATTAGTTGAGATAATAATAGTAAAGGAAACCTGTGTGTTTGTTGTATTTTGCTGGACTCCTCCGGCCGCTGGAGACAGTATCCAAGACAAGTCACAAATTTGATCTTAACGTGTTTAATAATCGCAAGATTCACAAGGTCTTCGCACAATCACGGTCAATCTAACTATCTTGTTCAATAGATTCGAATTAACAACTTAGAAGGGTGGGCAGACTCTTGATAATAAGCACGTTCTCCGTTGTCACGGGTTACATAATTACGTAATATGTGCCCCAGTCCCCGATAGTATTTTAATACTGTCGAGCACATTGTTAAAACAATGTTCTAAAATTAACTAATTTGGAAAAAAGAAGAAAAACCGGTAAGATAACACGATAAGGTAACTGTAGACGCGTAGTATTAGTTTTTCAATATGCGCGTAAAATTAATGTATGCCTTGTGTGATTCATGGTTGATGTTTTGCTGTTGAGTGTATGCTAAATAAAGTTATTAATGTACGGTTTCAAAAGTGACCTCTTGAGGTCAAACGTACCGAAATGTGTACTGATTGTTGTGAAGGCGCATTCAAATTGCATAAAGTACTGAAGCAGTCGAATTCTCAGATTCTAAGCTAACTTGTTTGTGATTAAGGGCTAGGTTTTGATGGTTGTTCTTCTTAGTTATGCAGCTAGCTTAGCTTCTAATCGTTTTACATTTTATGCCAAACTAGCAGCCTCTCTTATGCCAAAAGAGCAGCCTCTCTTTCGAAGCCAAATCCGCCACGGGATATGCCATAGAAATCGTCTTAATAAAATGAAAAATATTCCAGCGCCGCATAAACTTAACCTTGGCAGCTAATCATCCTTCCACACCATTCTGCCCACACAGCAAGAGATAATAAATTCGTTGCACGCAAATTGCCTTGCTTTTAGAGTTGATTCGGAGAGGGTTTGACTCCTGCCGCGTGGTGTCATTCAGAACTCTCGAGGGGCCAACCCCGGGCATTTGATGGAAGAGGAGAACTAGAGTTCAATCAATTACAACTAAAAAAAAAAACTCATGAAAGGTTTATTTGCAAGTAAAATCCCAGGGCTTTAAATATTTGAAATAATTAAATAATATTTGATTAGGAACGTTTCTACTCAATATGTCAGCGGGTGACGAAATTGAACCTTTCCAGGCATAAAAGGAAAAAAAAAAAAGTTAGATGCTTAGTCATTGATCATAAGGCTGTTAGTTTTATTTTTTCACTTTTGCTGATTTTGTTCTTTGGCAAAATTTTACAAAAGAAATGATCCTCTTGATTTACTTAATTGTGGTTATTCCTAAAGTAATATTTCCTGTTGGTTGGACTGAACTGACGATGCATTGGGAACTACGGATGTCTTAAAATTGAAAAAACACTAGATCTTTCCCGTACGTCCTTCATAAAATGTGAAGAATTCAAAGAAAATTCAGTGGAACATTCATCATGAGCGAACGTGATATACTCAGCTCCATACGAAATTGCGTGAGAACTTTTTAAGCAAGGAAGCCCTCAGACAAAGTCAACAATAACTTGTTTACATATAGAATACAGGAAATATCTGTTAATTTAGAAGTAAAATGTCACCAACAGCTAATTTCGAAATTGGAGTCGGTGTTCACCATCATGGCATTTTTAGTAAAACAAATTCAAATCTGGGACTTAAATGATAAAAAAGTTATTTTTATTATGTCAGTGGTTAGTGCATGCAGATAGAATTTATCCTTTTGATTGCTGCTCTTCATCATTATTCCTCGCTAACCAACACTGATTACGTCTTTGACGAATAAGGCCAAAGGGATTCTGGATTCATGTCCAACTGAAACACCAAAAATCACATTTGAGCTAATTAAATAAACAGAAGCATGTTCTTAAACAAACATGCTTTTCTCCTGCGTGAAATGCTCTGTCGCGGTTTGAGCTTAAATTTTTAAGATGAAATAATTTCAGCGATAAGCATGAGAAAATAAGCTGATGATAGCTGATAAAGAAGATAAAACCATTTTTTATTGTCATTGGGTTCAAATCAATCAATCCAAGGGCGATGTATATCTGTCATGGACTCACTCACACCGGAAAACTACATTTCCGATGTTTTCATTTGTGTATTTGCTTTTCTTTGTAGCTGTTGATTTGGTTTTATCATGATTTTATAAGATATGGAAAGAAAAGAAATATTTACTCGCATATTCATCTCCTGATTCATTTTAATTTCAGATTTAAATCAAAATTAATTGAATGTTACAAGTGGTGATTTATCTAGAAGATCGATTTCAGTTCGTTCATCCACTGCAAGGCAATCAGTAGATTCCGGGAGGAATACTTTAAACTGATTTGGCTGGACAAATTGTTTTCCTAAAGGTATGGAACTGTTCAGGATATCTTTTACGCTATGTTTTCAAAGTATTTATTCATAACTTCATGAAAGACTATGAGGGAACTGAATTTGGGATTCTACATCCTCTAATCTGACTATTTAGTTTTCCTTCTTGCCCCGACTAAAAGCAATTCGTGGTCGAAGCTGGGCCATGTTGGTGTATTCCAGTTAGATAACTTTCAACATGGCAGTACAATTGATGTAGATTTTGAACCTACTTGTCGAATTACAAACAGATACTTTTGGGTTTTTTGTCACGAGCGTGCGGAAAGTATGATCCTCTTTTTCTGAGCAATTTTCTGTATTTGTGCACCGATATCGATCTTAAAATTTAGCATTCTTTTCAATCTGTTGAAACCAACACATACGACACTTTTGATAATGTAGATCATAGCAGCACGAAGAAAGCATATAACATAACACGAAGAAAGCACGAAGAAAGCATGTAACATGACAACCTAGTTAGACCTAGCTGATTTTCTAGGCGGTTTTCTGAAGAGCATTGGTACACGAAATCCGAAATTCTAGTTCCATTTATCTAAGTTCTATATTTCTAGGTTCCATTTTTCTAGGTTCTATTTTCCACGCTCGCGACTGAAGCGAATAAAGTCTTTCTTTATATCATATCGCGCCATCTTTTTTAGTCATAGTTCTTTCCTTTCCTTTTTCTTTTTAGTTCCTTTTAGGCGTAGTTCTTGGAAGAAATAGAAGAAAGAATCGCTTGGGTCGACACATTGTTAACTATAAAGTGTTGACTCGACTTAAAATTGCAGCTCCTTGTTCTTACAAATTAAAGCCACCGCTTTTAAAATCTATATATTTCATAATCGACATCGTTACCTTAACTTGCGATGTGCGATTTCACTTTATGAGACTGGGTCGGTCAACCGAATATATAGTCACCGTAACGAAATCTCGATTTCCTTTGACGTGGGCATAATTTTCTTCACGTTTGCAGCTCAAATGTTCGATTAAGTTTTCACTGATATACTTCATGAGTTAATAATATCGCATTCGAAAACATTTCTACGAGAATACTTTACCTTTGACATGATCGCGATCAAAGAATTTGATTGTTCAGTTATTTAAAGAGATACATGCTACAGGGGCGTAGCCAGGATTTTTCAAAGGGGGGGGGTCCACAGAGGCTACTCACCAGATTGTTATGTCGACCTCCCCGCCGTGCATGTTTTACTTAATGTTACAGTTTTGGGATGAGCAGTGAGAGTATAGTGGGCAGGCCAAGATGTTGTCATGGCGTTTTCACCACCTGAATATTGTAGGTTGTTTGCTCAAAAGAAGGCTTACCAAGGGGGGGGGGTGGTCACGGGCACCCCAGGACCCCCCTGGCTACGCCCTTGTGTTAGGCGAAGAATAAGAGATGAAAACCGGTAACCCGGAAATTTTACCCAAAACTGGAACTTGAAACTATGATTTAACGGCGCGGAGAATCTAAACTGTGAACTCAAGTGCACTGACATCAGCGCTAATGGGAGACTTCTAAAAAAAAATTATGAAAAATCAAGAAAAAAAAAGTGCCTTGAAGTGGATAAGATCAAGTTTGTCTTCTTCTGGAAGAACTGACCTATCACTGAGAGATGACGATATATCCAAATTTCCCATCACTGACCAAGTTGACGAGATTATCATATAATCAAGTTAATACGAACGTGTTCTCGTGATGGCATTTTGTAATTATACGAATTAAACCAATACGAGAAAGGAAATCTAAATAAAGGGTCCTCCGCATTCCGCAGGAAGAGATTTTTCGACGACTCTGTCGCCGTCTGTCTCTCTTTCCAAAAAGGTTTCATCATGAGGAGATTAGTCAAAACCTGAGCGGCCGATGGATAACATGGAAATGGAATTTAAGGTCAAAATCTTGATAGTGGGTAGAAGCAACTATGTGAGCAATGTTTGATGTTCGATCAGGGTTGGCTCCCGATTGTTGCTCACAGGTCATCCATCAAACAAGGGCGAGGTGAATACTTTAACTGAAAAAAATATCCATGTCAAGCCTTATTACTTAGATAAGTAATCATGGACTAAAAAATATTAAGGGAAAAAAATTCGTTGCCTATTGGCTGATATTTCCTTCAGAGTGACCTTGAGAATCACTGATCTGCTAGACGAAATATCGCTTTCGACTGAAGGTTTATTGAATAACAATATTGGAATTTACTTTAATGAAGCAGAGCTTCAGGGAATGATATTCCAGGCTCAGCTTTACAATCTGCTATAACAAGGATATAATGAATGAAAAAATTACAAACTCTTTAAATGGAAGTCGGAAAGGTCAGTAAAGAAAGGCTTGAAGAATTTTGAAAACCTCAGTTGAAGTACCGCTCCATGATTTATTGATTTTAAACTAAACACAGCACTGGTTGGTGTCCACGCTATTCAGTTTACGAACCTCCTCGCATCTAGCTCTTTCGGTCCAGCTTTGGAACTTAAGAAACTTACCCAGTTTATTCGAGCTTTGTACAGCCAAGGTCAAAGTAAATTTTTTGGCACTGGGGTTCGGATGATGAATTAGCAAGTCTGTATCACCAATCTTCAATTCTTTACCAGGCTAAGCAACATTAGAATATGCTCTTTAAAAGCTTTTACAAAATCTCCCCAAATTGCAAACGATCGCAAACTTCCTGCGCAAGATGATCTGTGAGACCTGATCCTTTCATGAATTAATGTTAACTATTATGTAGCCCCACATATTTGGATCATTTCGTCGCCCTTTGTCCAGAAAATAAGGCTGTGATGATAAGTGTCTCGTTTTGCGTCAGTCTTGCTGTTTTTTTGCGTAGGAGGTCTTTGGTCAGCGTGCATACTTCAGATTCTTATTTGAAGGGGTCAGTCTGTGGTCATCAATATTTCCTGTTACACTGACCGGAAATTGTTATAAAAGTAAGCACGTGCTTATAATTTTGTTGTCTCAAACCGCAAATGAACGTGAAAAGTCGATCGACCTCGTTCACTCTCTCGCATTTTCCAGTCTTTGGGTGACGTGCGACTGTTAGACGCAGATCTGCTTTGTCACCAGCATCTGCGTCCGTCCCGTCTCCGGCCGGAGTGGGTGCGCGCTAGGAAATCTTATCTTGTTTATCTTGAAAAAAAAAATGCGAAACTCTCTTTTTTCGCAATATTGCGAGATGATCAGGTAACAAAACAACAGATAGGTGAAGCATGAGAACAAATCGTATTAAATCTTAGAAAAACTTAGATGACTGATGAAGAATTTGATAAAAGCGCATTCTGTTCTGCACGCCCAAAATTTTTAAATCCAATAGAAAAAAAAGAAAATTCTACAAACGAGTACTTAGCTAGAGGAATTTAGGAACTTTATGTCTCACAATGCAGAATTATCTACTCTCTAGCGTAAATTTCAAAACTCTTATCTATTTTTATATCGTTACATTATCATTATATATGTACACGTTCAGATGTTGTACATATGTTGTATGAGTTTGGAAAAGCCCCAGAGTCACTTTCCTTAACAAGCTGTGATCCAATTAGAGTGAAGTAACCTTTATGATATACCATTTCCGTTGCGATTCCACTATTCCCGTGAGAGCGAAAACTTCATTTTACGTCGGTTTAAAGGTCTTTGATTGCACGGAAAACCATTGTTACAGCTGAGATTATTGCACATCTATTCGATCATCTCAAAAAATAAATTTGAATTTTTTTTTTAAATTCACAGATAAATTTAAAAGAATATTTGAGGTTTGTAATCGGCTTAGTAACATAACTCTAAGACTCATCCAGATGATAATGTTCCATCTTTCATGGTGGGTGCAAAAAAAGGGCGCGGCTGTGTGATGATTCCCTCATTGGCGAAATATTGCTATGATGACATTTCCTGTCGTATTTGTTGCCAATCAGTTATAAAAAAGACTCGCATTTCATATTGACGGCAGAAAATTAACAAGCACCTTGAACACAGAACACGCGGATTGAAGCTCTTTAGACCGAGGCTTTCTAGATTTTACTGTTACTGTCTTTCTATAGACATAAACGAAGAAAAGTTAAAGTAAGTCTCAATTTTGTAGAATTCACAATTCAAGCGCTTTTTCAGTTTGTGATATCACTCTCTGTGTATGCATCATCGAGTTTTAATACGCGTGAGGCGTATTTAAATTTGGAATATCGGCGCGTTTTCATTCTGTTTAGACTGTTCAAAATATTTCGCAATGCCTCTGTCACTTTTAGTATGATAGAATTGTCCACGACTAATTCCTGGAGGGCTCTATCAGTGGAGAAGAAATACTTCAGAGGTCACATAGATCACTCGTGTCTTAATGCTGCTTAATGTTTTCCATCAGTCGATATTAAACATTACGGGTAATGAAATGCAAATAAGATATAAACTGTAGGGCCTTTTATCTGTCTAATTTTACTTTGCGTGCTAAATCACGTCCTTTCCTCGAACATTGCACGTCCCGCCAGGTTTCCTCGAAAGCAAAGGAAACTAATTCGATTTCTGTTGTAAAGCGTGCGAGTAAGTTTTTTGTGCTCCTTGCCTCCCTATTCCATTCATCGTCTCCTTTCACAAGAAAGCTATTTGAAACATACAATCAGGAGTGACAGTTATTTACCATTTTCTACATCATATAGAAAAGTGCCCGATCGCCGCTCTCTAGCATGTTTGTCGTCTTTTTTGTTTAATGATGTCAAAAGATGAGTAGTCGAAAGACAATGCATGAATTTCACGTATTACAGATTCTTGTTATTGTTTATTTAATTGGTATTGTACTACAGCGCTTTAACATTACATTGCATGCTGGGTAGTAGTTGCTTGAAGTGTTCACGCATTGTATGAAGTGGTATTGAAAAGGCGGTTAAATTTAAATATTGCCCTGGAGTCTTTTCAAATAGGCGTTGTTTATCTATCACCTAAGACACGCCAAATTAGGATGAGTCGGAGAAACCTGAAGCACTCGAAAGTCGTTATAAAGAACGGCGCGACTATAGCGTTGCTACATTTGTCGAACGCAATATGGCGATGTAAGTTCGATTTTCTTTTCAAGGGGGCACAGGGTAACTGAATAGAAAGTTTAGGAGTGTTACTTAGCAAGTTGTTGTTGGTTAAGATTGTTTGAACAGCTTGTTTGCTTTCAACTGCTCTTGAACCTCATCATTTGGGGTTTCTCTGCAGGTCCACATCGAAACCCAACGAAGGAAAAGTGGAGTCAGCAATGACATTTCTTCACGCTATCGTGCTTCTAGTTTTAGTTGGTAAGATTATTAAGCTCCTCTTGCTCATTGTATAACTAAGACACTAGATCAGTAGGTTAAAAATTTAAATGGAAACAAAATGTATTCATAGTCGACGGAAAATGAGCATGGATATTGCAGTTCAGCTTAACTCAAGCTTGATTTTGTGAGCAAGTTCATTTGATGAGTCGGGTGTAAATTCAGGTAGGCTAAGTTCGTTTTGTGACGTACGTGTTTGGCTGAATTTTTGCACAGTTAAAGGGGTTTTGTGTATCTGCAAAGGGTTTTATTTGAACAAAGTAACTTTCACTAGCAGAGGGGACTGAATTGTGATTAAACAATGGGCAAACTTTTTGTCTTTGCATTTGAATGTATGCGTTCAGTTTTTCACAAGCGTGACAATATTTATCACACTAATAATAAATGTTTCCTCTTTCACTTCCATTGATGTTGCTGTTGAATTGTGCTTAATTAATCAAATTGTCTATCCCTAAATCTGAACCTGCCGTCCCTTTTGAAATTTTCAGGTTAGTTTTGTACTAAAACCCTCAATTTTTTTACTTTGAAGAACCCATTACCTTGGAATTCAATTTTTCTTTATGAGGTGGGTGGGTATAGATTTCTGTGACAGAAGAGTAGTCTGTTAAAAATTGTGGAAATTTTAAGGCATCCAATTACCGTATCTCTTTCCAGCCTTTGTAATTATTTAAATTAAGATTAATAACAGTTTTTCATGTGCTTTTTTTGTCCTGAAAGGTGACATTCAGTGCTCTCCAGTGAAAGGGAATTTTTCTTTTCTGGTTAATCAAGACTTGGAAGTGAGAACAGCATACACAGCCTTTGACCGTACTGCTGTGTTTAACTGTACAACCAATGATGCAACTGCTAAAGTCACATTGAATCGAACTGACGGCCAGCTTAGACAAGAAAAAATTACCAGGAATGGTGCAGTCTTTACTATTCATGGCATCACAAGGCACGATGCTGGTCACTACTTGTGTGTTGCTAAAAGGAAGAATGGACAAGCTATTACCAGAAAGATCTTATTATATATTGATTCCAGTAAGTTCATTTTCTTTTCTAAGAATCTCAAAGGATTGTAGTGATGTTACAGGGCTACTTTAAGAGCAATAAGAAATAGCTGTTACTTTGTATTTGAGACTTTCAAATGTATGCAAAATGAAGTTGGCAAATTATTAAAACAATGTAATCAATTATTTTGCTTTGATTTCTATATGTTAACTTCTCTATCTCCCTCTCTCTTTTTTCAGGAAATCCTAGTGTGAAAATTGTCCCTCATAGGAATAGCCGAGTTTTAATTGGTTCCCATCTTAATTACACCTGTGAGGGTACAGTGGGAAAGCTGACCTGGCTAAAAGATGGCATGGACCTTCCAACAGACAAATTGCCAGGTGTCAGTGTCCTCTCTTCCCATGGTCCTAATGGGATTTTGGAAAAGGATCTGGACATTTTGCAGGCTGACCTTGTACATAGTGGGAGATACACTTGTCTGTTAACTTTCAGAGGAAAGAAATTTTTTCAGTATGTAGAAGTCAGCGTCAAAGGTAAAATTTTGTTAAAGCCAAACATTTCATTGGTAATCCCTGTAGCTTCCTTGAATGATTTTTACCCCTTGTCTTTTTTTTTTTTTTTTAATGAAAGTCATTGTTGCCCAATTCTTTTAACTTATGAGACAGTGATGGTCCGTACAAATTTTCAAAGTAGTTTTTTTTATCAGCTCTTTTAATTGTGAACAGTGGCAGAGCGTGTCCATTCTTTTTAAGAGCTCAAGTATTGGAATCTTTATTTCAACTCAGTTTTTTTTTTTTAATGTACTCAAACCTACATGTAAATCTGTATGCAAGGAAGATGTTTGATGACCTTGTAACTTCTTAAGAGTTTGGTATGATGATTTTTTTTCATTTAGCTCCAGAACCTGCAAGTATCACATCTGAAACACCCCATCATCAATTTCTTAATGACACAGACAGTGGTCCAAATATAAAACTTGACTGCCTTGTCAGTGGCTTCCCTATACCAAAGATAACATGGACAAAAGATGGCAAAGAGATAAAGAAGTGTTATAAAAATCACCCATGTGACACCCAGACTCGGCAATATATCTTAACATCCCAGAATAGTTTGATCATTCGAAAGCATCTCAAACTTGATGAGCAAGGAGTGTATCGCTGTGAAGCAGAGAATTCTTTTGGAAGGGTTTTCAAAGAGTTTATTCTTGATCATCCAAGTGAGTCATTGTTCAATACTCGTTCTGACTGTTCTATTAGTATGATCTAATTGTGGAAACAAGTCAGATAGTTTGGAAGGTTGGGGTTTATGCTTTTACTGGAATGTTTTAATCTGAGGGGTTCATTGAGATAAAGACAGGTTAAACAGATAGAATAGTTACACCTTGAAGTGTGTTGTGTTACATGAAGAGTCAAACCACTGACTACAATGATTGTGTTTTCTTTAATTGGACAAGAATAGTGAAACAAGAAAAATTTTAAATCTCTGTCTAACTTGAGCTGAAAGCTATTTTATGGTGAAGACCTCAAGTTTGTGGTTTCTTGAGTATTTTTCCTTTACAATGGCAGATCTAGGTCAGGTTCAGAGTTCAGTTGCCCAAAACTGAAGTACCTCCAAAACAAAAAAAAGAAAGAAAAAAGGTTGTCATCACCTTTGCGCTCAATTCTCGTTATCGGATCTTGTTAACTATTTACATCCCAACATTAATATACAAGTTCCCTATACTATTCCCTGTGCATTCCCCATACTATCCCTGTGCATTCCCCATACTATTCCCTGTGCATTCCCCATACTATTCCCTGCGCATTCCCCATACTATTCCCTGCACATTCCCCATACTATTCTCTGTGCATTCCCCATACTATTCCCTGTGCATTCCCCATACTATTCCCTGTGCATTCCCCTTTGCTACTCACATCAATAATTTATCTAACAATCAAGAGTGATCATTTCTTGTATTCTCATTACCATAATGTGTAATTCAGGGGTTATATTGTAAGGAGACACTAGATGCTGGTCTCTCTTACAGGTTAAAGGGTTAAAGTGGAGTCTGATTTCCATCAACAGGTCCTAAGATAAACGTACCAGCTGCAGTCGGAATTGTGGAATGGCACAGCGGGCAGCAGAAGTCAATTGTCTTTTCATGTAATGTTGCACGAGGTACTCCGAGGCTACAATTTAAGTGGTACATAAGATATAGGCAGTTTTTTTTACAAAGTGGGTGGTTATCCATTAACAATCCATTTTTCCACGGGTGTTTCAGTCAAACAGACAAGGCAAGAAGCAGCAGCCTAGAAACACCTGGGAAACAAGTATCTTCGTGTTTCAGCATATGCGAGTACTATAAACCTTGCGAAATAGGCTGCTCCGTGGAAAATGATTATGGAAAGGATGAAAAGGTGCTTTTTGAAGTTCGCAAAAAAAAGGAAAATGGAAAATGATTATGTAAAGGATGATAAGGTGCTTTTTAAAGTTCGCAATAAATCATAAGAATTTGTTTGCTTTCAAGTCTTCCTAGGCTTTACATCTTTACGCGTGGTGCTTACTAGGTAAGACTCTGGCATGCGTGCTTAGTGGTAAACAATTAAGCAGTTGAGTTGCTTGTACAGGGCTGCTTCTAAAAATTTTGTCCTACAAAAGCGTACGCGCCAACGGGCTGCGTGGCTCAACGAGCACCTGAATGTAGTTCAGTGGATCGAAGTTCTCGTTGCCCTCACAGTAGATCACTTAAACGCTTTTATTTCCTCTAGATAATCCTCTTTAAAGGCTAAAAGCCCGTGAACTTTCATCAATGAAACAGTTACTACCCATCAAATTTTCGTTACTCTCGTGAGCGCGCGAGATCACGCTTTTGTAGGAAAAACTTTAGTTAAACACCAGGCTCCGGTTGTTCAAAGCGCAGATAGCGCTATCCAACGGATAAATCACTATCCAGCGGATAAGTGTTACCAGAATGTACTGCGCTATCCACCGGATAGAGATTTATCCAGTGTATAGCGTTATCCATCCTTCGAACAACCGGGGCCTGTTTGACACGGAAGGAATTCATTACGCGATATACTCAAACTGTAGATCAGCTTTTGTTGGTTGGCTGAGTGTCATAAAATCTTGATGCTTTTGCATTATCAGTAACTAATCCTAGTTTTTAAACTTTTACAAATGTGGCTTTTTATTGCAGTGCTATTGTAATGTTCCGAAATTTTCCGAAAACTGAAAATGTATCTCGCTGATAAGCTTCAGTTTGTTACCTTCATTGATTCTTTAATCGATATCAAATGTGTTATACGTCACATGTGTATTTATCCATGTAAAGTGCGCTCTTTCAGCGACACAAACTGCGTTTGTTACAAAACCATTCGTGTAGTCGGCATCCAAGACAAATCGCTGCACGTAGTTCTTTTATGGCTGCGATCTTTTCGAAAATTCCAACCATCTCATTTTTGTGCGCTTGTGGGGGGGGGGGAGAGGGAGGACAAAATTCTGCCGTTAAATCAAAGATTTTCGTAAACTTCCACTGATCAAAGGACGCAGTTAGCTATGGGTGCGTTGAGGAGTGTTTTTTTTTTTTCCTCATTTGGAATGAAAACGAACAACTGAATGTGCAGTGGTTTATGGTTGTCGAAATCTGATATGGCATTTACTTTCCTCGACTTAGCTTTCACATTGAATTCACTCTTTCTCTTAACCTTTTTTTTTTTTTTTTTGGTTTGAAGTGATTAGTGAAAACGATTGACATAGAACTCAAACCTCGTTTGTTCGTCCAATGTGCTTACTACTAAGGCCGTGAAAGTGTCTACGACTAGCTAGTAAAGTAAAGTTTTTTAAGTAATTTAACCTCACATTGAGGGTTTCATTGTAAAGCAGTATATGCTATTTCCTCGTCTATTTGTATTTACCACTTGTTTGTTGTCGAAATAATCAATGAAATTTTCATCAAGGTTATTTACTTGTGCATGAGATCAGATTTTTCAAGATTGCTGTGTTAATTCTGAATGTATCTGAATAAAGACCATTTACTGACAGAAGTATATCATTACTTGAAATTGTTCGATCCTTTTCGGTGAAGTCAGTCGCGCGGGTCCAAAAAAATCAGGGGAAAAAAGCTGATGTTAGCGCGCCGCGGGAAGAGAGACGCCCAAAAAGCGTCTCGGCGTCTCTCCAAGAGTTCCCCGTGGCACTCAAACAGCAATTTCTTTCCACTGATTTTTTTTTGGTTCGCGCAACGGACTTCGTCGAAAAGGAGGGACTGTTCGTACTCTATTCATAGCCCCTCGAAAAGGGAGAAAAGTGCTGCACTGAGGGGTGGAAACCAACTACTCAGCTTTTTTTCTCTTTTTGTTTTACTTTTAAAGTTGGACCCCACTGGTCGTGAAATACTTTCAAAAGTAATCTCTCGTGATAGCAAGGTAAAATAGAAACTTTCTGATGATAATTAGGACAATTTCTAAACATTTGACATTTTGTCCATAAATGATTTTCCAAATGAATACGATTGAACAACGACGGAGTATATTTGACAACCTTGCGGTGTCACGACAGATGCTATTACTACAGAGCGGGAGTTTAGATTGTGTATTAGTATAATTTTAGAGCTGAACAAAGAGTTTCCAGCAATCTGATTGGTCGAGCGGTTCCTTGCATGACGCTATATAAACCGCTCCACGCGGTTTATATAAAATGTTAAAATAAAATGTTAATAAATGTTACTAAAATGTTATGATTTTAGAAATTTCTCTGTTGTTCAGCTCTGAAATTATACTTAAACAATTATTCGCCCCAGGTTCGGTGAATATTGTCGAATAATCCCCTCGACTTCGTTTCGGGGACGTTATTCACCTCGCCTTCGGCAATTAATAGTTAAATGTTATTCGGAAATTGTGCAGAGTCTGACTCATTCCCAGTCGACTCCAAATTCTGCACGGTGTTAAAGTGGGTGTGATAGGGGTGATGGGAAGGAGAAATTGAAGGAGACTCTATGGTAAGCAAAGCACTTACCAGGTTCATTTGTGACATTGCGTACTGCATGCCACTACGATCAGCATTGACTTGGACGCTGTTTGAGAAATATATATCCTCTATAGATTTCTCCGAAACTCATTGGTGAGGGATCGTACCGCAGACTTCGAAGGGTCTGGGTTCGATTGCTCCTCAGGGACGCAAATGTTTTCTTTATTTAATGCTTGTGACAAAACAGCATCTTTCTTTATTGTTTGTTGGATGCTACAATGATCGAACTCTCGATGGAATCTTACTAGGATTTGACACAAATGGTAGAAGCAGTTTCTCCGCGCACATACGCAGTCATAACAACTTTGCCCTGTCCGTGCGATGAGCCGACACGCCTATTAGCATGTCCAATCACACGAAATTTTTCATAAAAGAAGTAGTAAACCTGAAGGCTCATGTTCTTCAATGCCTGGTGGTAATTTGAACTAAATAAAAACAGAATGACAGGGTTGATTGCTGTACTAAAAGATGGAAACAGGTAGAAAAACAAAGCTAGAAAAACCAAGCACTTGTCTTTCGCGAAGAGGTCCCGATGAAACATTTTCAGCGACAGATAGATACAGAGTGGCGTCCAGCAGACAAAAAATGCTACAACAATCGATATCAATATTTTCGTGATCTTCTGCTGCTGTTTTTGTCTCTTGCTGTTCATCTGGTCTTGTGTCTTATCTGCTGCATTTGGACGATTCCTAACAGTTTTTACCACGCGAACATAAAGGATTGTCATTACAAAAAGCGGTGCGCAATAAAATATGACAAAACCTATAAAGTTAAAGACAACTTTCAGCAATCTGCTCCAAACAGTTCTGCAGAAAGTTTTATCGTCAACTTTGACAACTTCCGTATAAAACACGTATGGAGAACCACAGACTATCGGTATAATCCATGTAAGAACCAAGAAAGTAAGGCGCAGTCCTCTACGATCCAACATTACGATCTTCAATGGGAACACAATAGCCACATATCTGTCCACAGAGATAAGAACCAAGCTCAACACAGATACCACTTGTGATATTCCTCTGAAGTACATTCCCAGTTTGCAAACAACTGAAGCCAAATGATCACTGATAAACTGCCGACTCGTCAACATTCCTTCAGCTGCGAACAGCGGCCAATTAAAGCATGCGCAAAAAAGGTCGGACACTGCCATGTTGACTATGTAGTAATTAGTACTGGTTTTAAGGTTTGGGGTTTTGATGAAGGATACTATAACAACAAAGTTTCCGATAAAGGCCGCCAGTGTTACAATGGATAGAAGTACTGTAAATAACGTGGTGACCGCATCAGAGCAAGACGGATCCTGATCTAAAATGTTCGTCGGTTGAACAGAAGAATTGATCATTGTTCAGACCAAACTCGATTTGAGGACAGAAAAATATTTTGAATCTTGTTCTCCGTTGCTTAATGTTAATCAGCTAATCCAGAGGCACGATGCTTGGCTGAATGATTGCTGGTGGCAAATATGAAAACAAAACAGTGATTAGTTTATTGACCATCGATGAAGAACATTTTTGACTATGAGTTAAAAGTAATCCTGGACTTTTTTTAGTTCTTAATAGCTCCGTGTATTTCTTTAGTTTTAGGACACTCCTAGGCGAGAACTCTTCCCTCGCCGTGCTCTAGAGTAAATAACAACTACCAGATAACGGACGTGCACTATGCTTTCACTGTGAACATCAATCAGGAAACGCGCTTCCCAGCGTGCTTTCATTACTTTGCGTGAGTCTGGCTGTCTTGTGGTACTTTGGGCAGCGGAGTCTCCAACTGGCGCGGGCTGCCGTGTCGCACGCAATTTTTGAACTTTTTCCCTCCAAGATCTATTAAGACATTCTCCTTGGAGCGTCAAACGCTTTGTTAGAGATTAGGTATGAGAAGTCCCGACAAGATCGATTCAATATCTCCATCCTATAATTTCCTCAGTTAATTGTCGTAATCTATTTACTTGACTGCAGTTAGACCGTTTGAAAGGAGAAGTTGCATACAGATCGCTTCTGCCAAGTGAAAGGATCTATGAACTTTAATTTGGGTGCGTCCGAACTATAGAACATTTTAAATCTACGCACAGTTATTTTGTTTGTGCAAAACAATTGCGAAGGAGTATCGTTAAGCGCTTGCTGTTACCTAACTTTCATCCCGAACGGCAGAAGTTTCGCTCTAGTTATCAACGTCAGCAAAATAAAGACAAATAAACTAGTGGAAACTTCCTGCGGCTTAAGTCACGAAAACGAACGTGTCCAGTCAGTCACCATAGAGACCTGGTCTTCTCTACAGTCAGCTCAAACATCATTTATTGAATTAAGCGTCGAGTGAAACTTTGTTTGCGTAAATTTCTGCCTTTCTGTAAATCGAAGTTTTTCTTTTTACGAGGCAGTGTTTTCTTGCTGCTAGGCTTACAAACGCAAAGTAGCGAAACTATGCGTCTCCCAGATGATGTATCATAAATCACAAAAGACCTCAAATAATTTGTGAATTTGTTATAATAGAATGAAACAGTCAAATAACCAGTCAACCATTGCAATATTCTCAGGTAGCACTTTAGTTTTCATGTCTCTGTAATATTTTTGCCAGGCTGAAATCCTTTTCTAACCACTTTTGACAATAGACATGGACTGCACTCCGCGTTTTCATTCTCCTAAACCATTAACTTGAAAAAAGATTGTTTTAAAATTCTCTGACTAATTTCAAGGGTCGATCATCTAGAAATTTATTGAGGTTTATGCATATTTGATAAATTCACATCAAAGCTTTTACCGATGAAACCACAGGCATTGATTTCACCCGGGCTCCAACGCACTCAGCATTGCGTTTTCATTGCTTTATACCAACTAGTCGCTTTCCATCTGTGCATAGGTCTATTTGTTCCGTTTGATTCATTTTTGACCACGTTTTAACAAAAAACCGAAGCCTTTGAACGTTACATGTGCAGTCGTAAAACGTTCAAAATAAATACAACCAGCACAGTCAGACCTTCAGACAAGTTGAGTCGATTTCGTAGATCAACTACTTTCGAGTATTGTAATGAACTTAAAATTTATAGAGAAACGTAAATTTTACCCCTTTAAGCGGGGAAAGCTGCCATCAATCTCGTTCAATGCACTGTTTAGGTTTGTTCGAGTTTTTGTTTTCGGATTTGAAAGGCCCATTGATGACGAGGCAACAAACTGAAAATTGTTACAGACCTTTGAAGCATCTCGTGCCGTGTAAGCAAAACCCTCTTTTAATTTTATGCGAACTACTCCATTCACACTCGGTAAATTCTTGAGTAAATTGTAACATTAATATTTTAAAACACATGAGTTCTTGAGCAATTAAACTGGCACTGAACTATAGGACCAAGCTGTTTAGTCATTATTACAAGCTTATTACAGAACCATTTTCAAATTGATAAAATTCTTAGATTTTGGCGAACTGTGTGTTTCTTTAACCACATCACGTTTTGGTTAATTCGAAGTTTTCAAAAATTTCTTGTCAACTTCAACAGACGTTTTTGTAATGAAATTTCTCAGCGGGCGCCAAACGATCAAACACAACGTTTTTGGGTAAATTAAGTCCTTCTGAAATTGTTCATCGCAGAATTTTTCAAGAGATGCGAAATCTCTGGCAATCAAGTGAAAGAACATTTTAGCGAATTCTTACCTTTTAAACTCCGTGAATTGAGAGGTGAAGATTTTTCTGGTGTTCTCAGTCAGTGTGTATCTTCGTAAACACTTAATGCATGGTAGATTATTTAATGATTGGTGGGTCTCTGTTATGTTATTACCCCCCGCCGTTCGCCTCAGGAAAGAGTAACACTTGTAGCTTGAAAAACAAGTGCTGTACTACAATTTGGCTGGATGAGAATACAATGGCTCTTTTTAAAGGTAATGCCTAATTGAACAAATTGTATAGGTTATTCGTCATATCTGACATTTTGTTATTGAATGTGGAAAGGTGCTTTGAAGCATAACACCTCCTTCAAAATTGGCTCTGTGAATGAAAACAATACATTCCTCTTTTAAAAATGCTATCGCGTGACTAAAGCCGCTGCAGATCTAAATAGAGATTTACTGTTTCATGATAATTTTATCCTTTTTTAGACAGTTCTGTTTATTTACCATAGAGAATGGAAAATTGAATTTTGATTAAGTTTGCTCGCAACAAAGGCAAGAAAATTCATGCAGATTTGATGAAAATGATTTTTAGATTTTCTTTCTTTGAAAGCGCCACTTGAAATCAAACCATTGTCTTTTTTCTCCAACATGAAATTGACAAGAACGCAAAATATCAAAATGCGGTATAAATAAAGAAAATATAGTTGTAGAATTACTGTTTGCTTTACTATTTTTTTTTATTTACACTTTGCACAAAATCATATTTTGTCCAAAAAATTGTAAAATTGCGTTTTGCGTTCTCTTACGTGCTTCATCAAGTACATATTGCATACCAAGGTTTAACCCGATTTATTGTTTTTACTTTAGAAACTGATGTCTGAGCTGATTTTCAGGTTCAGGCAAATCTTAAACCAAAAACTTTTTACAATGGATCTAAAGCCAGTAAACCGAGAACAACAGATGGTGTGGAATAAATAAAACAAGGTGTACTTCAAATTCATTCGAGTCTTTCTTTGCCAAGAAAAAATGACAGTTGAAGATAATCTAAAAGAACTTGGTGCTAGTTACAACTGTTCTGCCCCCTCCCCCTCAGTAAATACAACAGTATCGCCTAAGCCGCGAAAAGGCCTCGAGGTGTGGCAAGGGAATTTGATATTGATTAATTGTTTTTCTCACAGAGTTATTTTATGATAAAAATTACCTTCGTATTCGGTATTCCTAAAACTCCAAAGTAACATCAAATTTGCATACATCTTGGGTTGTGAAACGCTGAGCTGATTGAGTAATCCACACTAAAATAAACAAGAACAAAGTGAATTTCACGAAATTCAAAGTGCTTTTCCAGCATTTTCAGATCTTTTCGTTGCAGATTTCGGATAAAAATTGTTGTAAAAAAGAGAGGCTTTCAATTACAGTTCCTTCGGTTAATCCAACTCCAACAGGGGTAGTTACCCTACAACACGCTGCCTCCACACAAATCCTGTCGTTTAACCATTTTCAGTTGAGTTTGCTTTAGGGCGCGGAGAGTTGTTGCTCTCGAGGAAACTACTAAGACCATTCGTTCTCAGGGAAGGTTTCTTTTTCATCACTGTGAGTCAATAATGAAACAACTCAACTGGAAGATCTTGTGGGGCATAAATTGACATCGATCTCCTTAATTTTTAATTTCCGATATGGGCAAGGCGTTCTTGAGGTAATTAATTGTGAGACTCAGCTAGGATCGATCAGTAAAACCTAATGAACTTTCCCAGGGTCTCAGACCAAAATGTTCATATGAGCTCTATACTTGCCTGGTAGATCTCATGATGATTGACGATATGAAATTGAGAGAAGTGAAATTCGTAGGATAAAGCCTGGGTGTTTAGAAGAGAGAGGACAAGAGAAAAAGGAATTATATTTTTTATTTATCTGAAGCCGCCAGGTGTGATCTTATTGAGACAGTAAGCTTGACAAGGAGATATATGTAATTAGCTCAGATTGTTACTCACACAAACATAACAGCCGCTTGGTATTAGCAAAAAGTTATTCAGTTATTCTTTTAATTCAAAAGTTTATAGCGTCATTAATATTGTTGTACTCAGATGTGATTTTTGTTCTTGGCGCATGCTACCGATATGGTAGTTTTTTTTTAAGGCGCTCTCGTCAGATTTTACTTGCGTCTTCGAGGAAAATGTCAAATATCACAGGTGTGCAAGAAAATTGTGAAACAAAATACTCTTTATTTGTTTTGGCATAATCAAAGTGTTCAAAACAGTGATCTGAGGCAGAATTAATTTGAAGCGTAGACGCGTAATGGGAGAAAATTGTAGAAAAACAGCTTTCTGGAACGCCGACCAAGAGAAAACAGCTTTACTGCGAGCGAAAATGTCTTCTTGTAAGTAGCTCCGAAAGGGAACAAGCCAACGATATCTACACAAAAACTTTACTTTATACTTTTTTCATTCTTCTCAATATTTTGTGTAATTAAGCAGCAAAATTAATGTTATTAGCCAGTGAGGTTAATCTACATAGCCCCGGGAGAAAAATTTAGGAAAAAAAAATTTTTTTGATGATTAACAACCGTTTGACACATGACTCAAAAGCAACTTCAGGCGTGCGACATTTTGACGTTAAAACCCCTATAAAAAACTCAACCTGCACGACGTCGCTGTGAAAAGTGTAAAAAAGGAAATTGTGCGCAGTAAAAGATGCTAATCATAGTTATTCTAATGTCATCCTTCGTCAATTTTTGGACGATACCAAAAATATTGCGCTTTTTGAAATGTTACGTTATAGTAAAAGATTGCAGTTTACCTATCTGGTCCATTTGTACCTCTGGGATTACAACGCCCGCACTGTAAGGATTCAAACATAAGTGCTAATTAGGATAGGATGGACGTGTAATAAGAATAAACCTTTTTACGAGTTGATGAGAAGATATGTTAGAATTCTTGATCCAGCCATATATTTCACCCTGCGTTCGTTCGCCGGTTCTCCATGAAAGTCTAGTCATAAGGCTAGCTAGTTAGTGTTTCTGTGCTAACTTGGTGGTACCATTATCATCAAAAATGTAAGTCCTGTTATCGTTCTTAAACTGTGGAATTTAGCATTTTCAGATCTCAGTTCGTCTTAGAAGCCTTTACTTGGAGTTATCCCGCACCAAAATTCTGCATCAAATCCTAGTCACATCCTAACAGGAGCAAATTTGAGTCAAAACCAATAGATGATCTCTTGGTCAAAACAAGATGTAAGACGTTCCATAGAGACACTCTGGACATTTTTAAACAATAAACTACGAGTTTATCGAAGTATTTTTGGAGCTGGAGTTGTTGAGTTGTAATCGTTAATGATCCTTGCTTGTTGAACTAGTTAGTTCGTAGCTTACAATTTGCTCTTGCGGCTTCTGAAAGTGAAGAAAATGAAGTTCGTTCAGGTGCAAGTCTGTCTTCTTGCATTTGAACTTACCATGATTTCTGCCAGAAGAGGAAAAGACAGAGGGGGCTAGAAAGACAGAGAGGAGCCTGAGAACGAAAGAAAACCACCTGAGCCATTAGCGAGACTTTGCACTCCTGCAAGCTATGGCTTAACATTTGTTAATGGCTCACCAGTTCAAGTTTGACGCCCATGCACGTGCAAAGAAAAGTTTTTAGAAACATGGCTTGTGTCCATTTTATCCTTTCAGTAAACCTTCTTTCGTGACCAGGGAATTTAAGTTAGTAGGCAAATAATGGTGATTTTTAAAGAAATTGATGTCATTCTACACCTCGCCTACCCTGCGTATAAAGGCTGATAGTTTCTAAAGAAACTGTTTGGGGCTGCGTCGGTGGGGGTAACGAAATAATTTGGATATATCGACAAAGTTGAAATGGTAAATTGGCCACCGTAACTATTACAAAAGCTGACGTTTCGAGCGTTAGCCCTTCGTCGGAGCGAATAGTGGAATCAGTTGTGGGTTGTGTGTGCTTTTAAAGGCAGAAAATGGAGCTACGTTATTGGTGGGAACGTGGCAACGAGAAAAACACGAATAAATTAGTGGAATGAGAAGCGTTCGTTGATACCTGTGGGATTTGTTTTTTTGCTTACACCTGCAGTGTTTGGTTTTCCCTCCCCTGCCCTTATCCATTTTTGTCATCTTTTATCTCCAATCTTCCTGGCGTAGCAATAATTTTTATCTAACCACCTTCCTTTTATTCAATGTTATGACTCGGAAATCAAATTATAGTGAAGACTGGGTATAAAATCGAGGATATGGCAAAATAAAACTTCTCCACATGATCTTAAAACTTCCTGTTTGAAGAGATGACTTCCTCAATTGAAACAATTCCCTGTGATTCGGCTAGATACCATAAACCGTGTTGGTTCGATTCTAGGAACGATGCTGAAACCAGTTTAAAATGTCCTTTTAAAGCTTTCACGCTTGCAATTTTAGTTCTCAGAACGACAGACAAAGGTGTACGTGATCAAAATGTTATGCTGTAATATGTATATACGTGCGAAATTTCGATGGCCGATTAAGAAGATTAAAATTGACAAACAGTAAAATTGCATTTGCTCCTGTTGTGTTGTTTCAGCTTTTGGAAGAGCTACAAAAATGGTCTTTTCATTTTTTTTTACATTGAGTTTCTATACGTGTATTTGTTCAAAACTTGAAAAACTATAGCTGGGTTTATCAGAATGACAGGTTTAGTGACAAGTGAGTTTACATAATAGGCAACCATTGGTTTACTTTGATTGCGTTCAGATGACCTACTTTTTCGTTAAATAACAAAAACCTTTTCCTGGTATTTGCACAATCAAGGCTAAAATATTATTAAACTTGTAAATTTTCTGAACCTATAATTGGTTTTTCAATCCTAAAGCAATTATATAAGAAAAATGTAAACAATTAGGTAAAAAAAACAACACCGCTCTTCTCAACGATTTGAAAGTAGATAACTGGTAGGATAATGTAGATAAAGGAAGAATGCTATCAATCAGTTTGTGTGGCACTGTTAGAAAAGAAGAATGTAATATGATAATAAAAAGGGAAATATCGCTGCAGTAATCACATAAATGCATCGGGGAAACGTGCGGACTCACGAAAGGGTGTTGAGTCACTTCGCGGCGAAATCTCTCGGCTAATTATGAGATGAACGGACGATTGCAGCTTTGGCTGAG